AGACAAACACACAAGGTTTTTCCTTTTGTGCCTGGCGTCTCTCACTGGACCTGATGTCTTCAAGGTGTATCCATCCCGTGGCCTGTGTCAGGGTTCCCTTCCTTTCCAAGGCTGGATGTGATTCCGTCGTATAAATGGACCACATGGTGTTTCTCCTCTCATCTGCTGACGGACACTGGGGCTGTCTCTACCTTTTGGCTGCTCTAAATCAGGCTGCTATGAATATCTACGTTTTTCTTTTCTTTTTTTTTTTTTTGAGACAGAGTCTCGCTCTGTCGCCCAGGCTGGAGTGCAATGGCTGGATCTCAGCTCACTGCAAGCTCCGCCTCCCGGGTTCACGCCATTCTCCTGCCTCAGCCTCCTGAGTAGCTGGGACTACGGGCGCCCGCCACCACGCCCGGCTAATTTTTTTTTTTTTTTTTTTTGGAAACGAAGCCTCGCTTTGTCACCCAGGCTGGACTGCAGTGGCCGGATCTCAGCTCACTGCAAGCTCCGCCTCCCAGGTTCATGCCATTCTCCTGCCTCAGCCTCCCACATAGCTGGGACTACAGGGGCCCGCCGCCTCGCCCGGCTAGTTTTTTGTATTTTTAGTAGAGACGGCGTTTCACCATGTTAGCCAGGATGGTCTCGATCTCCTGACCTCGTGATCCGCCCGTCTCGGCCTCCCAAAGTGCTGGGATTACAGGCTTGAGCCACCGCGCCTGGCCAAATCTACGTTTTTCATTTGTTATCATGCTCATCTCATTCTCAAGTACGGATTCCGAGAAATGAAGTCGAATGTCCTGGTTTCCCTTCCCTGATTGTCTAACTGGAGGCCCCCATCCCTTTTGGAAGTCAAGTGACACGTGCCTGGTTTCCAGACTTGCAAATGGGAACATCTCTGCCTCGGGCGGGCCCTTCTCAGAAACGCCCTCCCTGACCTCCTGTCTAAGCTGGCCTCCAACACTGCTTCCTTCTTTTTTTTTCTCGAGATGGAGTTTTTTGCTCTTATCGTCCGGGTTGGAGTGCAATGGCACGATCTCGGCTCACTGCAACCTCTGCCTCCTGGGTTCAAGTGATTCTCCTGCCTCAGCCTCCCCAGTAGCTGGGATTACAGGCGCCCACCACCATATCTGGAAAATTTTTGTAGTTTTAGTAGAGACGGGCTTTCACCATGTTGGCCAGGCTGGTCTCGAACTCCTGACCTCAGGTGATCCACCCGCTTCAGCCTCCCAAAGTGCTGTGATTACAGGTATGAGCCACCATGCCCGGCCTTTTTTTTTTTTTTTGAGATAGGGTCTCACTTTGTCGTCCAGGCTGGAGTGCAGTTTTGTGATCATGGCTCACGGCAGCCTCGGATTCCTAGGCTCAAGCGATCCTCCCCCCTCAGCCTTGCGAGTAGCTGGGACTACAGGCATGCACCACTATGCCCAGCTAATTTAGAAAATTTTTTGTAGAGACAGGGTCTTGCTTTGTTTTCCAGGCTGGTTTCCAACTGCTGGGCTCAAGCAAACCTCCTACCTCTGCCTCTCAAAGTGTTGGCATACAGGCATGAGTCACTGTGCCTGGTCCTCTTTATTTACCATTTTTTCTTTTCTTTTTTTTTTTTTTTTTTTCTGAGAGGGAGTCTCGCTCTGTCGCCCAGGCTGGAGTGCAGTGGTGTGATCTCAGCTCACTGCAAGCTCTGCCTCCTGGGTTCAAGCCATTCTCCTGCCTCAGCCTCCTGAGTAGCTGGGACTACAGACACCCGCCATGCCTGGCTAATTTTTTGTATTTTTAGTAGAGACGGGGTTTCACCGTGTTAGTCAGGATGGTCTCGATCTCCTGACCTCGTGATCCTCCCGCCTCGGCCTCCCAAAGTGCTGGGATTATAGGCGTGAGGCACCGTGCTGGGTCTAATTTTTGTATTTTTAGTAGAGACAGGGTTTCGCCATGTTGGCCAGGATGGTCTCGAACTCCTGACCTCAAGTGATCCTCTTGCCTCGGCCTCCCAAAACGCTGAGACTATAGGCATGAGCCACGGTGCTTTACCAATTGTTTGTTGTTTTTGAGACGGAGTCTCGCTCTGTCGCCCAGGCTGGAGTGCAGTGGCCGGATCTCAGCTCACTGCAACCCTCCTCTGGGACTACAGACACCCGCCATGCCTGGCTAATTTTTTGTATTTTTAGTAGAGGTGGGGTTTCACCGTGTTAGTCAGGATGGTCTCCATCTCCTGACCTCGTGATCTGCCCGTCTCGGCCTCCCAAAGTGCTGGGATTACAGGCTTGAGCCACCGCGCCCGGCCAATTTTTTTTTTTTTTAAACCTTTGAGGTGAAATTCACATAACATAACATTTACCCTTTTAAAAAGTGCACAATTCAGGGGCATTTCCTGCCTCCCCGTGTTGAACAAGCACCCCTCTATCTAAATGTAAAACATTTCATGCTCGAAAGGTGACCTGTACTCAACAACAGTCTCTCCCCATCCCCTACTCTGCGTGAGAGGCCTTCAGGGAGAGCCTAGGGGTGTCTTTGTGGGCATTCATCCTTAGCCCCCCAAAACTCCCCTACAGCCAGGCTGGGGTGAGCAGGAAGCCTGGGGCAGGGCGGGGGATGGGGACAGCTGGTTAGTGGGGCTCACATAGGCTGGGGGACAGAGTCCCTGCTCAGAAGGGCACAGGCTGAGACTAGGAGGCCTTTCCCAGCTCCAAAGTGGAGTCTCAGCCAGGAAAAGCCGTGGGCGGCCAGGGGAGAGGGAGGGAGAGCTGGTCTCTGTGCAAGGAGCATCAGCTGACAGGCAGGCTGCGAGGCTCTGGGCCAGGAACTCTGATTTCTTTCCCCCTGGGAAGCTCAGACGCCCGCCCCAGCACGAGGGCGCTGCCTGGCACTGCTCCCTGGGACCGCTGGGGCTGGCAGCCTGAAAGAGGGACAGACCTATTGTGGGGGGACCAGAAGCTCCGGATCCACTCCCACCTAGACTCCAGGCTCAGCCACATGCAGTCCGAGTGAGCCTGGGCTGGCACCGGCCGTTTGGAGCCTCAGTTTCCTCATCTGTAACACAGGGCTAAGAACAGCACCTGCCTCAGGCACAAGTTACTGCCCAGAACGGGCCTGGCTCACTCCCTTCCACCTTCCCAGCTCTCCCTGACCCCCGACTTGGTGAAGTCTTGGACATTCTTGCAGTCCCCTAAGCAGTGGTCCTTTTACGAGGACAGGGCAGGGTGTGCCTTGGACCCGCACAGCCTGACACAGGCAGATACGCAGTAGGTGCTTAACAAATGCCTGAACTGATGCCAGGATAGGCGGCTGCTATCAGGAAGGAACTGGAAGCCAGACCCGGTGTCTCACGCCTGTCATCCCAGCACTTTGGGAGGCCTAGGCGGGGCAGGTCGTTTGAGGTCAGGAGTTTGAGACCAGCCTGACCAACATGGCGAAACCCCGTTTCTACTAAAAATACCAAAAAAAAAAAAAAAAATTCAGCTGTGTGTAGTGGCATATACCTGTAGTCCCAGCTACCCAGGAGGCTGAGGCTGGAGAATTGCTTGAACCTGGGAGGTGGAGGTTGCCATGAGCCAAGATCACGCCACTGCAGTCCAGCCTGGACGACACAGCAAGACTCTGTCTCAAAAAAAAAAAAAAAGGAAGGAAGCAACTGGCTCTCGGCCCCTGGAGGATTCCAGGGTGACAGTCGTGTGACAGCTCACACACTCGGGCCCCGAGCTGCCCACCTTGCAGCTGCCTCACCTGGTTCTCATCGGCAGGGGACTTGGGCTCCCCAGCTGCAACCCGGTGGACCCAGGCTGGCCAGGAATCGTCTGCCCTGGCACTGGGACCAGAATCCACGCAAAGGTGCCTGAGCTCAGCACCGTCCAATGCACGGGGGCCTCATTCACGACACCAGGTGGACATGTGACAACTCAGAAGGTGTTTCCTGTCCCTAGTGGTGTGGCCGGGCCAGATTCTGAAATCTGGTCCCTGGAAAATTCCAGCCCCAAGGAACCTGGTAACCCCTCCCCATTCCTGGTGTTATGTAACATTTGGGGATTAATACCGAGGCATCCAGGGGCGGCTGCCGGGATTCAAACCCAGCGCGGCCCCTTCCTGGGCTGACTGAGCGACTTCACATCCCTGGGTCTCAATGTCTCGCCTGTACAATGGGGATAAGGCCCGTTCTTGGGTCCCAGGCCGAGTGGAAGGGTGAGGGGAGACCTCCCCAGGAAAAGGGTGAACCTGAGTCTGGGACAGGGCTTGGAGCCACGATTCTGGGGGGTCCCAAGTCCCCTACTGTCTTTCCACCCAGCTGTTCTCTGAGGTTTCTGATGCTCTCTGAGGTCATCATTTCAAAGACGTCCCCACCTGGCTGTCCGTGCAAACCCCAGCCAGGGTCCACCTGTTGCTCCACACAGAGAAGAGAAGCCCATCCCTTCTCTGCGCTGAAGCTCCCTCGGACCCCAGCCCATGGGTCCGCAAGCCCCGGTCCTGCCTCCTGGGTCCCTATCCCAGGCCTCACCGCCCTCCCCACCAGCCCCCGCATCACAAATACTGGGCTTCTCTGCCGCTCCGAATTCTGCTGTGGCTCCCCAGTGCCCAAGGCTATCAAGCCCCACGTTTTCATGTGGGCCCCAGGGACCCGCCAGCAGGGAGGACCCGAAATGGCACACATTCGGAACGACGAGGCTCATACCTCAAGCGCACTTTTGGGGGAGAGGCCCCTCGAAGCCCCCAAACCCCCACGAGCGAGAGAACCTCAGTTTCCCGCTCGGTAAAGGGGCTGCAACAGCGGTTCCCAGTCAGCCCGGGGGTGCAGGGTCGGAGGAGCTGGCGGGCTGAATGTGGCTCTTAGCGTCCGGTTGGCGCACGGGGTTCGGGCGCGCTCTAGTCCCTGGAACTTCCCCAGCCGCGGCATCCCCGCCGCCCACGCGCCCCCCACTCCCTGGCCGGGCACCTCCAGCCCCTCCCCCGGCCGGCCCAGCGCCCGGGCTCCGCCCCCTCCCCGCCCCTGCGGCCAATAAGACGCGCCCCGGCGGCTCCTGCGGCCCCAGAGCTGCCCCGGAGCGGTCCCGGAGCGGTAGTCCCGGCCCTGCTGCGCCAGAGCCCGCGCGATGGAGCCCCTGCCGCGGCGGCGGCGCAGGAGCCGCCCCCTGGTCGCCGCCTTCCTGCGAGACCCGGGCTCGGGCCGCGTGTACAGGCGCGGGAAGCTGATCGGCAAGGTGGGGACCCCGCGCCCCGAGTCCGCGAGGGGGCAGGGCCGGGCTAGGCTGGGGTCCCCGGCGGCGCAGGCGGTCCGGCGAGGTCTGCGCGGCGCGTCCCTGCGAGCGCGGGGTCTGGCGCGGGCGCGCGTCCGGAGCCGCGGGGCCTCCAGTGCGGGGTTTCTCGTGGCGGGAACCGTGTTGGGCGCGCTGCGCGGCGTGTCCGTGGGTTGCGTGTCCGGGGTGTGGGCGTGCGGCTCGGCCTCGGGATGCGACGCTGTGTTGCCTCTGGGTGTGTGTGCGAGCCTGGCGAGGGTCCGAATGTGCCATGTCTGTGCCCACTGCTTCCAAGTGCCTGGGTGCTGTGCGGTGTTCGTGTGTGTGTCGGGGCGTTGTGTTGCTTGTTCACCTGTTGTTTGTGCGTCATGCCTTTGTGTGTCTAGTCATTGTGTTGTGTGTCTGGGTGTTGTGTGTTCATGAGGTGTGCTTGTGTTTGTGTGTTCATATGTGGTGTGTCTGGGAGTTGTGTATTCATGTGTTGTGTTTGTGTATCTGTGTCTTTGTCCATGTGTTGTGTGTCCGGGTGTTGTGTGTCCGTGTGTTTGTGTGTTCCTGTGCTGTGTCTGGGTGTTGGTTCTGTGTCCACACATGGTGACTGTATGTCCAGACATTGTATATTCATGTGTTTGCGTGTTGCTGCGTTGTGTGTCTGGGTGTGGTGTTGTGTGTCCATGCAAGGTGACTCTGTGTCTGGGCATTGTGTGTTCGTGTGTCGTATTCAGGTGTGGTGTTGTGCGTCCGGTGCTGTCTTGTGGTCCGTGGCCTGTGTGCACCAGGCGTGGATGTGTCTGTCTCTGCGTTCTTGTGTGTGTCATGTCTTGTGTGTCCCGGTGGGAGGGTGGGTGCTGTGTATTGTTTTCTCCCCGGTGCGTGTGTGTGTGAAGAGACTTGGCCACACCTGTGTCCCTTGCTGCCCTGTGCCTCTGTACACGCTGCCAGCTTGCACACCTGTGCACACCTGCCCGCTGATCCGCTGACCCTCCTCTCAGGGCGCCTTCAGCCGCTGCTACAAGCTGACGGACATGTCCACCAGTGCTGTGTTTGCCCTCAAGGTGGTGCCGCGTGGCGGGGCTGGGGCCGGGTGCCTTCGCACACAGGGAAAGGTGCGTGTCCCCGTCGATCCCTAGGGCCCGCAGCCCGCAGCATGTCCCAAAGAAGGCCCTGCCCTTTCGTCCCAGCCCTGGGTGGACATGAGATTGTATACGAGGCAGGCGAGCATCCTGCAGCCCGTGCCCCCTGCAGGCAGGTACATGTCGGGACCGTGCCTACAGGTGGAGCGTGAGATTGCCCTGCACAGCCGCCTGCGACACCGCAACATCGTGGCCTTCCACGGACACTTTGCTGACTGCGACCACGTGTACATGGTGCTGGAGTACTGCAGCCGCCAGGTGCCCGGGGGGTGGGGAGAGGGCGGCATTCGTGTCGGCTGTGCCCGTCTGTGTCCACCCCGTGTCCATCTGCACCTCGCTGCTGACCCTGTACCATCCTGAGTGCCCTCTGCTGTCCAGTCGCCAGCGCTTCCTATGCCTACATGGGGCCATTTGTGTCCATCCTTTACTCACCTGGGCACACCTAGGCTCTCTTGATCCACCTGGCACACCCGGACCCAGCTTATACTCCTGTGACCGCCTGGGCCCATTCGAATATATTTGCTTCTTCTTGGCCCCCTTGGACTCACCCACACCCACCTGTACACACCAGCATGCCCCATGCCTACCTGTGGTCGCCCGCGCCCCTCCTGCCCCCAGCTGTGCCCACCGTGGCCTAGTTGAATTTAGTCATGCCATCATACACCCCTGAACTCACTGTGCCCATAAAGTACACCTGAGCTCACCTGGGTCCACCTGTGCCAGAATATGCCCCCTCTGCACTCACTGCCGATCACCTGGTCCTTCCTTCTCAAGCTGATGGGCATGTCCACCAGCGCCGTGTTCACCCTCAAGGTGGTGCCAGGTGCGGGACTGGGGCTGAGTGGTTGTGCCTGTGGGGAAAGGTGTGTGCCCCCCTCAGTGGCCACGTGGGCCCATCTGAACCGTACGCTCCTACTGGGGTTGGTCATCTGTGCTTACCTGTGCTCATCCCATAGTCAGCCATACCACCTCGGCCAGGTTGAGCTTACCTTTGCCTTCTAATCTGGGGCCGCTGGGCGCCTGCAGTCTTTGGCCCACGTGCTGAGGGCGCGGCAGACCCTGACAGAGCCAGAGGTGCGCTACTACCTGCGGGGCCTGGTCAGCGGCCTGCACTACCTGCACCAGCGGCACATCGTGCACCGAGACCTGAAGCTCAGTGAGTGCGGGGAAGGGGAACTGTGGGCGGGGGCTGTGGGCGGAGGCGTCGGGAGGTGGGTGCAGATCTGCCCCATGCACGGTGCCCCTTCCACTACCAGGTAACTTCTTCCTTAACAAGAACATGGAGGTGAAGATTGGAGACCTGGGGCTGGCGGCCAAGGTGGGGCCAGGGGGCCGCTGCCACGGGTGAGAGCCGGGGGGGCTCTGAGAAGTCTGTATGGGTGGGCACGGCTGGCCCTGAAGTCTGGCACGGGGATGCCAGCCTTCCTGAGCCCCCCATGACACCCCTCCTAGAGTGCTCTGTGGGACCCCAAACTTCCTGGCCCCCGAGGTTGTCTCCAGAAACGGGCACTCCTGCCAGTCAGACATCTGGGCTCTGGGCTGCATCATGTGAGTGGGGTCCTGGGGAGGGTGGGCAGGGCCTCCAGGGGGGCAGGTGCAGCAAGGGGGAGCCTGCACGGAACAGGTGGGCACCGGTGTGCAGGGTGGGGCGCATGGAGCAGGCACCTGTCGCCACCAAGTGTGCAGTATGAACAGGATGTGTGTGGGGATGCGTGTGCAAGGGAGGATGGGGGAGGGTGTGCACAGACACGCGGACAGGTATGGGCAGGTGGCAGCAGCACAGGCAGGTCAGGGCGTATATGTAGCATGTGTGGGCACAGGGCAGGTGTGAGCGGGCATAGGATAGCATTGGAAGGTGGAGGCCGGGCATGGTGATTCATGCCTGTAATCCTAGAGCTTTGGGAGGCCAAGGCAGGAGGACTGCTTGAGCCCAGGAGTTCAAGACCAGCCTGGCCAAGTTGGCAAAACCCTGTCTCTACAAAAATTACCAAAATTAGCCAGGAGTGGTGGTGTGCAGCTATTCAGGAGGCTGAGTTGGGAGCATCGCTTGAGCTCAGGAGGTGGAGACTGCGGAGGGCTGTGATTGCACCTCGGCACTCCAGCCTGGACAACAGAAGGAGACCCTGTGTAAAAAAAAATATATAGGAGAATTGAAAAAGTGTATGCAGGTGAGTTCAGGGCGAGCCAGGTGCAGGCAGGGGACAGACAGACACCAGTGTCAACCAAGCAGGGTGCATGGGAACGCACAGGGTGCCAGGTGCAGGCGGATGTTGGGAGGTGAGTAAGCCAACACGGGTTGCAAAGGCGGGCTGTGTAGGCAGGTCCAGCCAAGTGTGCAGGGGCAGCTGTGAGTGGTGCCTGGACGCCCAGGTTCTTGCCCCCCACCTGGCCCAGGTACACGGTGCTGACCGGCGCCCCGCCCTTCATGGCCTCACCCCTGTCGGAGATGTACCAAAACATCCGTGAGGGCCACTACCCCGAACCCACTCATCTGTCCGCCAATGCACGCCGCCTCATCGCACGCCTCCTGGCACCCAACCCGGCCGAGCGGCCCAGCCTGGACCACCTACTGCAGGATGACTTCTTCACGCAGGTGGGCAGCAGTCCCCGGCGTGGGGTCCCCGGCAGGTGATGAGCCAGAGCCTACCCTGCTCAGCCGAGGCCAGGCCCCCTGCCCCAGGTAACCCAGGTGCTCAGGGGCTGGGCGACCTAAGCTGGGGATGACCCCAAATCCCCCATCTGAAGGGTTTCACTCCGGACCGGCTGCCGGCCCACTCCTGCCACAGTCCCCCTATATTTGCCGTACCCCCGCCTCTGGGCAAGATTTTCCGGAAGGTGGGCCAGCTGCTGCTCACCCAGTGCCGGCCACCCTGTAAGTACTGCCCCTGCCCACACCTGCTCAACACCTGCCTCTGCCTGCTATCTGCCCAATACCTGCTCCCACCTCCCACCTGCCCACACCTCCCACCTCCCACCTGCCCACACCTCCCACCTCCCACCTGCCCACACCTCCCACCTACCCACACCTCCCACACCTTCCCACACCTCCCACACCTCCCACCTACCCACACCTCCCACCTCCCACACCTCCCACCTGCCCACACCTCCCACCTGCCCACACCTCCCACACCTCCCACCTGCCCCCACCTGCCACTTGCTCCGCTCTGTCTCCACATCAGGGGTGGGTGTGGGTAGCAGGTGCCCCCCCCTCCCGCTCGGGGCCCAGGCTGTGCCCCCTCCAAGATCTTGTGCCTCCCTCAGGCCCCTTCACATCTAAAGAGGCCTCGGGTCCAGGAAAAGAGGGGCCAGACCCTGACTCCATGGAGTGGGGCGGTGAGGTGAGACGTCGGGGTGGGGGACACGGGGAGGGACAGGTGGAGGGCATGCCTGACCCCAACTAAAACCCCCTCCTCCATGCCAGCTTCTCTGAACCCCTTCTGGGGTCTCCAAGCCCGGCCCCCTCTCCCTGGTCCCGTCCTGATGCTTCAAAGCTGGGATCCATTTGCGTCCAAATGTGCCCACCTGGGGTTTCCCAAGGGCCAGGCTCCAGGCCACAGGAAGGGTCCCATCCACGGCTTCAGTCCATCGCATTTATTGAGCGCCGCGTGTATGTCTCTGAGACACTCCGAGGCTGCCTCCCAAGGGGAAAGCAGTGCCTCTGTGTGCAGAGCTCGGCAGGCACAGGCAGAGGCCAGAGCCCACCACCCTCCTCACGCCTCTCCCAGGGGCTGGGGCCACCCCTCAACCCTGCTGCTCCCACCTCAGAGCTCCCTGTCTGCGAAAGGGGTTCCCTGCCTGGAAGCCCCCATCCACCTGGTCGCACATGGGACCCTGCAGAGTGACCTGGCCGGTAAGCAGATCCCCATCCCAGCCCGGGGCTGCAGGTGGGGAGGTACAAGTAAAGGGGGGACCAAGGCCGTGGTTTACCAGGGTCACAGCCGCCGTCCCAGCCTCACCTTTCCTGCCTGTCAAATGGGAATGCCGCCTCTGGGGTGAGGATGAGGTGTTCCTGGATGGAGCCGTGGGGAGCGGGGCCGGTTGGAGGAGCCTGGTGGTGGGAACCCAGGCCTGTCTGCAGCACATAGACCTGTCCTCCCAGGGCCCGAGGGGAGCCGGCGGCCGGAGGTGGAGGCAGCCCTCAGACACCTGCAGCTGTGCCTGCACATGGGCCTCCCGGGTAGGAGCCAGCCCAACCCCCAGGATCACCCTTTCTCTTAGTAGCCAAGTAAAATTGCCTTCATTCCCATCCTGGGCCCTCCTGGGTATTTCTGGGGGTGAGGTGTAGGGGTGAGGGCCCCAGGACACGGTGACATCAGGGGAGTGGGTTAGCTCTCCTGTATGCAGAGCCTGGCACAGAAGGCTCTGAGGCAGCCTTACCTTTCAGGGTCTCTTGTTTTATTTTTGAGACGGAGTCTTGCTCTGTTGCCCAGGCTGGAGTGCGGTGGCCGGATCTCAGCTCACTGAAAGCTCCGCCTCCCGGGTTTACGCCATTCTCCTGCCTCAGCCTCCTGAGTAGCTGGGACTACAGGCGCCTGCCACCTCGCCCGGCTAGGTTTTTTTAATATTTTTTTAGTAGAGATGGGGTTTCATTGTGTTAGCCAGGATGGTCTCGATCTCCTGACCTCATGATCTGCCCGCCTCGGCCTCCTAAAGTGCTGGGATTACAGGCTTGAGGCACCGCGCCTGGCCCCAGGGTCTCTTAAATTCATGATCCGGTCTTGTTAGAGACCCAGTGATGAGGAAATGTGACATGGGACATTGGCCACAGAGCCTGGTGCCCACGGGCCACACTCCAAAGGGGGACCCCTCTTATCCACAGTGTCCCAGAACCCAAACCCTCTTGCTCTCCTCTCCTCTCCCTGAGCCTCCACTGACCCACACGTCCTGCCCCACTTAGAGAGGGAGCCCCAAACCCCACACCAGGTCTCCAGCCCAGAAGAAGCCTCTTCTTTTCTTTTCTCTCTTTTTTTTTTTTAAGAGATGGAGTCTCACTCTGTTGCCCAGGCTGGAGTGCAAAGTGCAATGGTGCTATCTTGGCTCATTGCAACCTCCACCTCCTGGGTTTAAAGTGATTCTCCTGCCTCAGCCTCCCGAGTAGCTGGGATTACAGGTGTGTGCCACCACGCCTGCTAATTTTTGTATTTTTAGTAGAGACAGGGTTTCATCATGTTGGCCAGGTTGGGCTTGAACTCCTGACCTCAGATGATCCACCCGCCTCAGCCTCCCAAAGTGCTGGGATTACAAGCATCGTCAGCCACCATGCCTGGCCGCCTTTTTATTTTGTTTTGTTTTGTTTTTTTGAGATGGAGTCTAGCTCTGTTACCCAGGCTGGAGTGCTGTGGCATGATCTCGGCTCACTGCAGCCTCCGCCTCCCGGGTTCAAGCTATTCTCCTGCCTCAGCCTCTGGCATGTGCCACCATGCCTAGCTAATTTTTGTATTTTCAGTAGAGACGGGGTTTCACCATGTTGGCCAGGCTGGTCTCGAACTCCCAACCTCAGGTGATCCACCTACCTCAGCCTCCAAAACTGCTGGGATTACAGACGTGAACCACAGCGCCTGGCCTAAAATAAAAAACTTTTTGAGTAAAATAAAACTTTTGGCTGGGTGTGGTGGCTCACACCACCCTAATCCCGGCACGTTGGGAGGCTGAAGCCGGCAAATTGCTTGAGTCCAGGAGTTTGAGACCAGCCGGGGCAACATAGCAAGATCACATCTCTACAAAAAAAAGAGCTAGGCATGGTGGTGATTGCATGTTGTCCCAGATACTCAGGAGGCTGAGGAAGGAGGATCACTTGAACTCGGAGGTGGAGGCTGCAGTGAGCTGAGATCATGCCACTGCACTTCAGTCTGGGCAACAGAGTAAGACCCTGTCTGAAAAGCAAACAGACAATCAAAAACCCAGAAACGGGGCCAGGTGCAGTGACTCACGCCTGTAATCGCAGCACTTAGGGAGGCCAAGGCGGGGGGGGATCACCTGAGGTCGGGAGTTCGAGACCAGCCTGGCCAACATGGCAAAACCCTGTCTTTTCTAAAAATACAAAAATTAGCCGGGTGTGGCTGCAGGCGCCTATAATCCCAGCTACTCAGGAGGCTGAGGCAGAAGAATTGCTTGAACCCTGGGAGGCGGAGGTTGCAGTGAGCTGAGAGCACGCCATTGCACTCCAGCCTGGGGGACAGAGCAAGACTCTGTTTCAAAAAACAAAACAAAAAACCAGGCCGGGCGTGGTGGCTCACACCTGTAATGCCAGCACTTTGGGAGGCCGAGGCAGGTGGATTACTTGAGGTCAGGAGATCGAAACCATCCTGGCTAACGTGGAGAAACCCCATCTCTACTAATAATACGAAACTTAACTGGGCGCAGTGGCGGGTGCCTGTAATCCCAGCTACTCGGGAGGCTGAGGCAGGAGAATCGCTTGAACCTGGGAGGCGGAGGTTGCAGTGAGCCGAGATCGCACCATTACACTCCAGCCTGGGCAACAGAGCAAGATTCCATCTCAAAAAAACAAAACAAACACACACACACACAGAAATGTGTAGTATTTTCAGAGCATCGCAAGCATTTGAGAATTGCTCATTCCCAGGGGTGCCCACAGTCTCCCTCTGCAAGCCAGGAATTCGTTACGGTTCCATGGCTTCTGTTGATGTCTGGTCTCCTAGAATCCACCACTGAAGCCCCCAAGCCTCTGTCCAGTCCCTGCCGTGGAAAGGGTCTCACCCATGGTTTCAGTCCATCGCATTTATTGAGCGCCTACTATATGCCTGACCCCGACCCTTGGCTCAGCATACGTTTGTTTGCGCCCAGCCACACAGGACCCCCTGGGAGAGCAGCAGCCCATCCTCTGGGCCCCCAAATGGGTGGATCATTCCAGCAAATACGGCTTTGGCTACCAGCTCTCGGACGGGGGCAGTGGCGTCCTGCTTCGGGACGGCACCCACATGGCTCTGCGTCCCCCCGGAGGGTAAGTTGTGGCCTCCTGCGCCCTGGGGGACCAGGCACTCCCCCTGCCTTTTTTCATTCATCTCTCAAGTATTTATTAAGCACCTGCTGTGCACACCTACAGGTGCTCCCTGCCTGGTCGGGGAGAACAACGCTAAACAAACGAATGACCCAGTGCTTTTCTGTAGGAAATAACCCAGTGAAGAGGCAGATTAGGAAGGGAGGTAAATCCCAGTAGTGTGGGGGGGGTGGAAGGGGAAGGGGTCTCTGAGAAAGTGACGCGAATGGCAAGCAGCAGCCCTGTGCTTTGGGAGGCCAAGGCAGCAGGATCACTTGAGCCCAGGAGTTTGAGATCAGCCTGGGCCACATAGCAAGACCCCATCTCCACAAAAATTCTAAAAATTAGCTGGGCTTGTGGTGCACGCCTATAATCCTGGCACTGTGGGAGGCTGAGGTGGGAGAATTGCTTGAACCCAGGAGTTTGAGATCAGCCTGGGCCACATAGCAAGACCCCAGCTCTATAAAACATTTAAAAATTAGCTGGCTTTGGTAGTGCATGCTGGTAATCCTGGCACTGTGGGAGGCTGAGGTGTGAGAATCACTTGGCTCTATAAAACATTTAAAAATTAGCTGGCTTTGGGTAGTGCATGCTGGTAATCCTGGTACTGTGGAGCTGAGGTGTGAGAATCACTTGAACCCAGGAACAGATCAGCTCGGGCCACATAGGAAGACCCATCCTATCTCCTCACAAAATTTTTTTCCTGAGACGGAGTTCTGTTTCACACCCAGGCTGGAGGCAGTGGCATGATTCCAGGCTCACTGCAAGCTCTGCCCCGGTTCAGTGCCAGCATTCTTCCTGCCTGCCTCCCATAGCTGGGACTATAGGCGCCCGCCACCACTCGCTAATTTTTTTTTTTTTTTTTTTTTTTGAGATGGAAGTTCACTCTTCTTGCCCAGGCTGGAGTGCAATGGCGCGATCTCGGCTCACCACAACCTCCGCCTCCTGGGTTCAAGCGATTCTCCTGCCTCAGCCTCATGAATAGCTGGGATTCCAGGCGTGCACCACCACGCCTGGCTAATTTTGTATTTTTAGTAGAGATGGGGTTTCTCCACGTTGGCCAGGCTGGTCTCGAACTCCTGACCTCAGGTGATCCACCCACCTCGGCCTCCCAAAGTGCTGGGATTACAGGCGTGAGCCACCGCGCCCGGCCTTTTTTTTTTTTTTTTTAAATTAGCCAACTGCAGGGCCATACGTCAGTACTTCCAGCTACTTGGACGGCTGAGGTGGGAGGATCACTTGCTCCCAGGAGGTTAGGGCTCCAGTGAGTTATGATTGCACCACTGCACTCCAGCCTGGGGGACAGAACGAGACCCTGTCTCTCTTTTTTTTTTAGACGGAGTTTTGCTCTTGTCGCCCAGGCTGGAGTGCAATGGTACAATCTCGGCTCTCCACAACCTCTGCCTCCTGGGTTCAAGCAATGCCCCTGCCTCAGCCTCGCGAGTAGCTGGGATTACAGGCACCCGCCACCATGCCCGGCTAATTCTGTATTTGTAGTAGAGACGGGTTTTCTCCATGTTGGTCAGGCTGGTCTCGAACTCCTGACCTCAGGTGATCTGCCCGCTTCGGCCTCCCACAGTGCTGGGATTACAGGCATGAGCCACCGCGCCCGGCCTACTGGGACCTTATTAGCATGCACTGAGCATACAGATAAGGTGTGGCCAGGGCAGAGCTGCTCCTTAAAGCCACCATTCCAGGGGGTGTAGCTGGATGGAAAGGTGTCCACTGGTCTGGGCTGCCCAGGACAGACGCCCTGTGTCCTGGCCCCAGCCAAGTGTGCTACATGCCCGGCCGCGGGAAGCTGGAAACCTTCACCCTGAGGGATGTGCCCGGCCCGCTGTGCGCCAAGCTGGCCGTGCTGCAGCTCTTTGCCGGCTGCCTGCAGCGGCGGCTTCGGGAGGTGAGAGCTGGGGTGCTGGGAGGGCGAGGGGTGGGGACGCCACCTGCTCCCCATGACCTCAGCCAAGTCTGTCCACAGGAGGGGACCCTCCCCACACCTGTGCCACCTGCTGGACCTGGCCTCTGCCTCCTGCGCTTCCTGGCCTCTGAGCAAGGCTTGCTGCTGCTGTTCAGCAATGGGACGGTGCAGGTGAGCCCGGGACTCACACACAGGGGCCACTGGGGCTCAGCAGGGTGGGGTCTGGCCCGCCTGGGCTGTTAGGGAACAAGCTTTGGGGGAGCCCTAGGAAGCATTTCCCTCCCAAAAAAGAAAAAAAAGAAAAAGTATTGGCTCCTAAGTACAAAAGCCACAGCATGGAAAACGCGTGACGTTTTTGGGCCAGGCACTGTGGCTCACGCCTATAATCCCAGGGCTTTGGGAGGCTGAGGTGGGAGGATTCTTTGAACCTGGGAGATCGAGGCTGCAGTGAGCTATAATTGCACCATTGCACTCCAGCCTGGGCAACAGAGTGAGACCCTGTCTCTAAATGCACGGGGCATACAGATAAGAGTGTGGCCAGGGCAAGAGCTGCTCCTTAAAGCCACCATTCCAGGGGTGTAGCTGGATGAAAGGGTATGCAGCCTCAGGCACCCAGATGACGCCCTGTGTCTGGCCCCAGCCAGTGGCACTGTGCCCGGCGCAGGAAGCTGAGCTCTTCACCCTGAGGATGTGCCGGCCGCTGTGCGCCAAGCTTAGCCGTGCTGCAGCTCTTTGCCAGCTGCCTGCAGCGCGGCTGCGGGAGGTGAGCTGGGGTGCTGGGAGGCGGGGGTGGAGACGCCCCATCACATGAGCTCCAGCCAAGTCTGTCCACAGGAGGGGACCCTCCCCACACCTGTGCCACCTGCTGGACCTGGCCTCTGCCTCCTGCGCTTCCTGGCCTCTGAGCAAGGCTTGCTGCTGCTGTTCAGCAATGGGACCCGGTGCAGGTGGGCCGGGACTCACACACAGGGGCCACTGGGGCTCAGCAGGGTGGGGTCTGGCCCGCCTGGGCTGTTAGGGGAACAAGCTTTGGGGAGCCTAGGAAAACATTTCTCCCAAAAAGAAAAAAGAAAAGTATTGGCTCTGGTACAAAGGCGCATGACGTGGTTTTGGGCCCAGAGCACTGACTCACGCCTGTAATCCCAGCTTTGGGAGGCTGAGGTGGGAGGATCCTTTGAACCTGGGAGATCGAGGCTGCAGTGAGCTATAATTGCACCACTGCACTTGGCCCTGGGCAACAGAGTGAGACCCTGTCTCTAAAAAAATAAAATAAAAAATAGTGACCCTTGCTTGGAGGTAGTTGCCACCTCCCAAGGTCATGGTTAAAGTCAGAGTCTTGGCTGGTGCCTGTAATCCCAGCGCACGGGAGGCAAGGCGAGCGAATCACAAGTCAGGGTTGAGACCAGCCTGATAAGCATGGTGAAACCCATCTCACACTACCAAGAATACAAAACTTAGCCAGGCACAGTGGCGCCTGTAATCTCCACATGCCTCAGGAGACTGAGGCAGGGAGAATCTCTTGAACCCGGGAGGCGGAGGTTGCAGTGAGCAGAGATCGCGCCACTGCACTCTAGCCTGGGTGACAGAGCGAGACTCCGTCTCAAAAAAAAAAAAGGCCGGGCGCGGTGGCTCAAGCCTGTAATCCCAGCACTTTGGGAGGCCGAGGGGGGCGGATCACGAGGTCAGGAGATCGAGACCATCCCTGCCAGCTAACAGGTGAGGCAGTCTCTGCAAATGCTTACAAAAGCCCAGCCCAGGCGCATTAGTGGCAGGTGCCTGTAGTCCCAGCTACTCGGGAGGCTGAGGTAGGAGAATGGCGTGAACCCGGGAGGCGGAGCTTGCAGTGAGCCGAGATTGCGCCACTGCACTCCAGCCTGGGAGACAGGCGAGACTCCGATGTCAAAAAAATAAAAAATTAAAAAAAAGTCAGTCTTGCTGGAGCTGCTGGGCAGGGAGCCCCATCTGAGCCTCAGTTTCCCAGGTGTACAGTGGAGGCGCTTAGCCTCCCGACCCCAGTTCTGTGGCTGGAGCAGGCACTGAGGCCAGATTGAGGCTCTGGGTCCCATTGTCCACTTGTCCTTCCTCCTGGAGCACCAGGGCTGGCGCAGACCGGGGACAACCTCCATGACTGGTATCTTACCCTTTGCAGATGAGTTTCAGTGGAGTCGGCCCAACTGGTGCTGAGTGGCGAGAGTGGCGGGAGTTTTGCAGCTCACCCTCTGGGGCAGGGCCCGTGCCTCCTCTCCTGGACATCCTGCGGAGCGCGGCTGCACCCCCGCCACCGGCAGCGCGCCCGTCACGCCGTCCATGCTGCCCAGGTATCTAACGCCCTGAGGGTCAGAGTGGACCCCTGCATGATAGTGCCAGGAACCCAGGCTCCATTTCCATTCCTGTAGCTCCCCACAGAGGGAGCTATCCACGGGGAGAGTTTGGGGGCACAAGGGAGGTGGTTCTTGCCTTGTGGCATGACTGTTCAAGCCAGACTTTGCTGGGATCTGCTTCTTTTTCATTAAAGGCAGTGTGAAAATGCTGTAGGCCATGGTCTGCCTCTCTTTGAAACGTTTGGAGGAGCTTTGGCAAGGAAAATTATTTGCGTGACGCTGCCTCCTCCTGTTGTCCTTGAGAGCGCAGAGGTGGGCTACATTTTCACCAATGCAGACATTAGCACCAGAGGGCCAGTCTGGTGGCTCATGCCTGGAATCCCAGCACTTTGGGAGGCCAAAGGCAGGGAGGATGCAGCTGGGCCAGGAGTTTGAGACCAGCCTGGGCAACATGGCAAGACCCCATCTCTACAAAATTAGCTGGGCATGGGCCAGGGCGGGGTGGCTCAAGCCTGTAATCCCAGCACTTTTGGGAGGCTGAGGCGGGTGGATCATGGGGAAGGAGATTAGATGCATCTAGCTAAACTGGTGAAACCTGTCTCTATAAAAATACAAAAATCCCAGCTGAGGCATGGTGTGGGCACCTGTAGTCCCAGCTAGCCGAAGGCAGGCATGAAGAATGGTGTGAACCCGGGAGGCGGAGCTTGCAGTGAGCCAAGATCCGCCACTGCACTCAGCCTGGGCAACAAAGCGAGAATCATTTCAAAAAAAAGAAAAAAAGCTGGGCATAGTGGTGCATGCCTTAGTCCCAGCTACTTGAGAGAGCTGAGATGGGAGGATCGCTTGAGCCTGGGAGGCTGAGGCTAGTGAGCTGATTGCACCTGCACTCAGCCTGGGCGACAAGACAAGACCCGTCTCAACAACAACAAAATTAGTACCAGAAGTGGGGTTCTGCCGTAACTCGAATCTAAGCTTCAGACACTTGCTTAATGGGTGGACAGGAAAGCCGACGCTGAGGCTGGAGCGACAGCCATGCTCCAGGACACAGTTACCACAACTGTCACCTGTGCTGCCAGGGGGAGGATGGTGCACTCATGGACCTGACACTCTCTGGAGCTTTGATGGAGCGTTAGTTGTTAGGTCAAAATGTCATATGAGGCTGGTCATGGTGGCTCACACCTGTGATCCCAGCACTTTCGGAGGCCAAGGCAGGCAGATCACTTGAGCTCAGGAGTTCAAGACCATCCTCGCCAACATGGTGAAACCCCATCTCTACTAAAAATGCAAAAAAAATTGGCTGGTGTGGTACACACGCCTGTAGTCCCAGTTACTCAGGAGGCTGAGGCAGGAGAATCATGGGCAGGAGGCAGGGTTGCAGATTTGAGCTGAGGTGCACCATTGCACTAGCACGGGCAACAGAGCAAAACTCCGTCTCAAAAAAAAATTGGGACCCAACTAAGTGTCAGCGATGAAGACTCAGAAACATCTGGCCACCGGGAATGGTGAGGCTGGGAAATTAGAAGGCTCATGGGGGGCATTAAAAGGCAGGCCGAGTTGGAGCTGATGACAGAAAAACCCCTTACCCGATTGTGGAAGGACTCCAGGCCCCTCAGTAGCTCTTTCGTTTTTGAGATGGAGTCTTGCTGTGTCGCCGCCCCAGCTGGAGTGCAGTGTCTCATCTTAGCTCACTGCAAGCTCCACCTCGGAGTTCAATACTTCCTCTGCCTCAGCCTCCTGGTATAAGTTACAGCGTCATCCACCGATCCGGCTAATTTTTGTGTTTTTGGCAGGGCCAGGTTTGCCATGTTGATCAGGCTGATCTTGAACTCATGACTCAAGTGATCCTCTGCTCCCAAGTAACTGGGATTGCGAGCTTGGGCTCTGCGCCAGCCTCATGTTATCACTTGAAGCCACAAATTCTCAGTGCAGAAACCTGGAGGCTGTGCTTGGGGTGTCTGCTGAGGTGGCCAGAGGTATATCCTGTGCTGGAGAAAACTCCCCTCGACCGATGTGGGATCGGGAGACTGGGGCTCAGTCCCAGCTGGCATAGGCATCGGGCCTCAGTTTCTCACCTGTTTAAAGGGCATGTATTCTCTGGCATCCATGCCAGCAGCGTGATTCTGCGTGAAGTTCCACTTCCAGTTCCCATTATATTTACAGAAACTCATCATAAAGAGGACGGACAATTGAGGCTGGAGTGCAGTTGCTCATGCCTGTCATCCCAGCAGGCTGGGGAGGTTAGGGTGGGCGGATCACTTGAGGACAGGAGTCTGAGACCTGCCTGGGCAACATGATGAGACTCTGTCTCTACTAAAAATTTTTTTTTTTTTTTTTGAGACGGAGTCACGCTGTATCTCCCAGGCTGGAGTGCAGTGGCACTGATCTTGGCTCACTGCAAGCTCCGCCTCCCAGGTTCACACTATTCTCCGCCTCAGTCTCCCAGTGGCTGCAGGGACTACAGGCGCCCGCCCTCACCGCCCAGCTAGTTTTTGTATTTTTAGTAGAGACGGAGTTTCACCATGTTAGCCAGGATGGTCTCGATCTCTGACCTCGTGATCCACCCGCCTCGGCCTCCCAAAGTGCTGGGATTACAGGCTTGAGCCACCGCGCCCAGCCTGTCTCTACTAAAAATTTAAAAGCCAGACCTGGTGGCACATGTCCGTGGTCCCAGCTACTCAGGAGACCCAGGTGGGAGGATCGCTTCAGCCCAGGGGTTCCAAGGTGCAGTGAGCTATGATTGCACCACGGCACTCCACCGCTGGGTGATGAGCAGACCCTTTCTCAAAAAAGGCTGGCGTGGTGGCTCTGCGCCTGTGTCTCAACACTTTGGGAAGTCGAGTAGACAGATCACCTGAGGTCAGGAGTTCGAGACCAGCCTGGCCAACATGGCAAAACTCCATCTCTACTAAAAATACAAAATTAGCGGCCAGGTCTGGGCTCACACCTATAATCCCAGCACCACGCTGGTCAGGCTGGTCTCAAACTCCTGACCTCAAGGAATAATCCGGCCTCGGCCTCCCAAAGAGCTGGGATGACAGGCGTGAGCCACCGCACCTGGCCACCTTAGCCTTTAGAATGGTAGT